CACACACACACACACACACACACACACACACACACACACACACACACACGCACACACACACACACACACACACAGGTCTGAGCACGTGCGGCGCTCACGTTACAGCCCTGTGACGCACGAACTCTCAGCCAATCAGCTGCCAGGATCAGGCTCAGCATCATCGGGGGGCGGGGCTTCTTATATAAACAGGTGATGTGGGATCAGACTACAGCTTTGTTCATCACAYGGGCTTTTATTTTGAAAACACCCATTTAAGTTCTGAGTCTTTCATCTGATTGGTCCGTGTGTTTATTATTGTTGTTTATTGTTTATTGGTTTACGTTTGAACAGATTAAATATTTGGTTCTGTCAAACTGACCCAATCACCTGAACCCATCCTCGCCCCTGATTGGACGGCGCATGGATCAGGTGTCTGACCTCACCTGGCGCTCGCTGACCTCTGACCCTGGCGGAGCGCGGAGGGCGGCCCGCAGGGACCCCGTCTCGCTCCCTCCAAAGTCATGTTGTTTCATCTTCGATGGGCCCACATGAAGCCGTGACCTCTGACCCCGGGCGTCCAGGAGGAGGAGGTCCTGGAGACAGGAAGTGAGACAACTGAGGGAGGCGTTCCTCTGATGAGTGCCTGGAGCTCACAGACCACTGTCAGGCGCCGCCATCTTGAATGAGATTTTTTACTAACAGGCARTAAAAAGGTTATCAACAATATAAAGAACTTCAAAAACACAAGTACAAATACCGCAGTACACATGGAAAGTATATTTTTATATATTTAAATAAAAATGTTTTAGAAACAGTAAAAAAAACTACAGTAAAACAAAGTTACCATGTGGGTATAAATACTGCAGTACACATGGAAAATGTTTTTTTAATATATTTTTTAAAATAAAAATGTTTTAAAAACAGGAAAATACTACAGTAAAACATAAATACCATTTGTGTACAAATACTTCAACACATATTTAAACATGTAGTAAAAGTTCAGCTGAAAGTACTGCAGTATCCCATCACTTCACTACAAGCTGAAGTGCATTAACGCATGTCAGAACCAGAACCAGAACCAGGACCGCCGGTTCTGCTGCAGGAACACTGTGTACACGACACTCTTTCACAATAAAAGCCCGAGTACTGATGCTATGAAAAGACGCGTCCTCGCGCTCAGGCGCGAGCTGCAGGTGTTTGTCCCCGCATGTCCCCCACCTGTCTCCGTCCTCACCTGTCTCCGTCCTCACCTGTCTCCGTCCTCACCTGTCCGCCTACCGTTCCGGTTCGGCTCCTCCGGGTCTTCCTGTGTTTGGAGCTCCGCTTCTCTCAGCAGAGCTGATGCTGCGGCTCAGCGGCGGCGCGGAGCATCATGGGAAACAGAGTCAGGAAGTGACGTCACAAGTTTCTGTCCGGTGATCAATAAAGGTTTAAGAAAAATTATATTTTATATAAAACTATATAAATATTTATTTTATATTATATAT